AAGCCAAGGTAGGTGGGGGAGATGCACATGGGACCCCCCCACATCCCTTAGATGAAGCGCTTGTTCTCCTCCTGGTAGTTGTAGGGATCTCCAGCAAAGGGCAGCGGTGGCGGGTGGTTGTAGATGCCCATGAGGAAGATCCAGAGGGTGCCCAACACCAGCGTGGGGGTGATAAGAAAGAGGCAGAGGCGGTCCAGGGTCCGGGCCACACGATTCCAGTTGTCAATCTCCTGGGGAGAGAGCCAGGAGCCAGGCAGTGGGGGGCACAGTGGGCACAGGGAGTCCCCTCTGCCCTGCCAGTGCCCATGGCCCCACCTCGTTGTAGCTGTTTTCGTCCCGCATGTGCTTCACAATGTCGTTGGCGTTGTCAACAACAGGTTTTATGTGCTCATAGAGCTGCTCGTCGCCTGTGACCGTGCCCTGCGGCGCCAAACCTGGGGGCAAGGGGGCGGTGAGGTGGGCTCCAAAGGGCTGCCACCACTGGAGACCCCCGCTCCACCGCCCTTCCCCATGTCCCCATGGAGGGCCTGTGGCTCACGGGCAGGGGTGACGCGGCTGACCAGCCCGTGCCGCTCCGACTGCTTCTCGAACATGAGCTCGCTGCGGGACTTGACGCTGAAATACTCCTCTGCCTTGGCGATGTAGCCAGCGGAGCTGCAGCGCCGGATGCACGGGGCGCCTGCCAGGCTCTCGTCCGGCTGTGTCATGCCCAGCATCCGGGGCAGGCTCTCCAGGAAGACCTGGGACACAAGAGGGGTTGTCAGCTCCCTTGGACATCTCCCCAGTGCGATGCCACCTTGTCCCCACTTTCTGTCCACAGACTACATGTGGCAGAGATGGGACACCCTGTTGCAATGCCAGGGCTGTGCTGTCCCATGTCCTCCGTGGGGCACAGTGTCATCCCTGTACCCACCAGTACACCCACACCCTGCTCACCTCTTTGACCCAGTCAGACATGACATGGGTGCTGGGGGTACGGAAGTGGAAGTTGAGGACCACAACACTGATGATCACCACAGCTGTCACCAGAAGCATGATAAAAAGCAGATACCTGGTAGGGAGCATGGACTTGGAGCTGGCATTGCCACAGGGGCTGGGCACAGGCAGAGCTGCCCTCTGGCACCATGGAGACCCCACAATGTCCCCACTGCACCCAGTGGTGCCCAGAACTCACTTGCCAATGAGGGGGATGGCGTGGGAAGTGGCAGGCAGGCGCTGGGAAATTAGAAGGAGGAAGACAGACTGGGCCAGGAGCACTGAGATCACCAGGGTCATCTTCTCACCACCTGGAGAGCAGGTGAGCTCAGGGAAAACCCTGCCCCATGTGCCTTTCCCAGTATCCCCAGTGCCAGGGTTGCCCTTCCAGTGTCCCACTATACAGTGCCCCATATTAGGTTTTCTATTATGGGGGTACACCAGGGTCCCACATGAGGTATCCTGTCCCCAAGAGTGCTTCTGCTAGGGTGTCTGGCTGGGACGACAGTGTCTTACATGGGGATATCCCAGTTCTAGGATATCCCTGTGCTGAGCATTGGGGTATCCCCATGTCCCAGGACGTGGTGCAGGTGTGGGACATGGAGGTGCCCCGGCGCTGTGACTCCCATGCTGCAGGGCTCACTCACTGTCGGCAGGCAGGTAGAAGACGAGGATGACCATGAAGGCAATGAGGATGCAGGGTATGACGATGTTGATGACATAGAAGAGCGGCTTGCGCTTGATGATGAGGTAGAAGGTGATGTCCTGGTGCTCACTGGTGTCAGGGGGAATGTCAGGGTAGATGTTCTTGCGGGCTGGGCGGTGGATGATTTCCCATTCCCCATTCTCTGCCAGGGCACATGGGACAGCACATGGCATGGGGGACACCTGCCATGACCATCCTCACCAGCCCCACCAGCACTGATCTCCCCATCCAGGGTCTGGGTAGCTCCAAGTCTGGTGGGTTGGGTGCCAGGGTGCAAAAGCCCCGGGTACATGAGTGTCTCCGTGACAGAGTGCCCCAATTCCAGAGTGTTACCCAGCCCTGTACAGGGTGTCCCGCTGCCACAGGACATGGCAGAGAGCACAAGCCTTACCCGTGAAGCCTTCAGGGTCGATGATGATCCACTCCACCGGGTAATCCTTGCCTGTGTCCTGGTCGGTGTCTGTCTTCAAGTGCATGTTGATCTCCAGGGCACTGTATGCCAGTGACCTGGACCACAGGAGACAGGCAGTGAGGAGCTGCAGCTGCTACTGGGCACACACCACCCACCCACCATGACCTCCAGCATGACGGACTCAGGCCACTGGGTCACCTGCAGACCCCCACCTTGCTGTGCCCCAACAGCAAGGGGAGGGTGTTACCAGCAACAGGTACCACAGGGGGATGGGATGCCCACCCTGTTGCCCTGACCCAGCAGCCCGGCACCTGAATCTGAGGGTGCAGTTCTGCCAGTCGAAGGGGAAGAAGTCGACGTTGATGAGGCAGGTGCTGCGGAAGATGGCAGGTGGCAGCCAGTAGACATAGCCCGTGTCGTAGAGGAGGGCATTGCAGTAGTAGGCGACCTCAAAGAGCCCATCATTGCTGTGCCGGCAGAGAGACAAGGTGATGGTGAGGCTGGGAAGGGGCCAGGGGAGCCCTGGGCATGCACCAGGCACAGTTTAGGGGATTTGGGAAGGGAAACTGAAGCACAGCTCACTTGTTCTCCAGGACTATCTCAGGCAGCCACAGCATGTCTGCTGGCAGGCGGAGCAACTCAATGTCCCCAAAGTCGGACTTGTTCCACTGCAGACGGTAATCGGTCCAGCCCTGGAGGGGAGGATCCCCAGGTCACCCCCTCACCATGCTGGGCCACGCTGTGGTGGCACAACTGATACCATGACACCTGTCCCTACTCACGTGCTCGAGCCATATGCTGGTGGTGAGTGTCTCATCCACTTCTTTCTGCAACAACAGTGTGGGGCAGTGAGATGCCAAGGTGTCCCGACAGCTCAGGACCCCCAACACTCAGCAGCAGAGTGAAAGAGAAGCAGGGGTGGCATCCAGCCAGCCCTGGGGGTGAGGCATGGCTGTGGGGCTCCCCACAGTGGGCACTGCCCACTGAGGCTCACCAGTGAGATTAGGTTGGAGAGGGTGAGGGCCAGGTAGACGTCCACGACCTCATCAGTGGAGACAACAGGACGCACCTCTTTGTCATAGCCCTTCTCCTCAAAGAGGTGGTGGATGAGCCTCTCCTCGTGGTTCACGCAGAGCCCACCTGGGGGTGTGGGGTCAGGCAAACCAGGGGGCTAGTGGGGCTACTGGGCCCAGTGCCACCCCATAGGATGGTATAAGAATGTAGCAGACAGGAACAGGCCAGGACATTGCATGTTTGTGCTGCACAGGAGCACAGACATGGACATGCAGGAATGACAGACTTACGGGAGCACATTGGGCACATGTGGGCATAGGACAAGGATATGGGCATGGACACAGGGACACAGAGATACAGACCTAGCACACAAAGGGACACACAGACACAAGATACTTGGGTACAGATCCAGTGGCATTGTGCACATAGGTGGATGCACACACAGAGGCACACATGCACTCACGAACATGGACCCAGTGTATGCAGGGACATGTGGTCAGAGATTTGGTGTCACTGTGCACACAGACAGGCACACACAGGGACATACAGTGACACTGGGAAAAGACAGCACATGGCCTGGGCTGGGACACGGCTTTGGGAAAGAAGCACAAGGGACGCACAGTGAGGGGACTCTGCCAGGTAATACCCAAAAAGCAGCCCTGGGGACCCTTGTGCCCTGTTTGGACCCTGCCACCATCCCACCGACCCCACTGAGGGGGACTGGAATCCCCCAGCAATAGGGCACCCCATATCCCAGACCCCGCTCACCCGACAGCATCAGTGCCCCGAGCAGGGCCAGCTGCTGCAGCAGGTTCCCCATGCGGTGCCCGCGGTGCCCTCGCGCCGTGCCAGGCCCTGGCTGCCTCCCCGCCTGGCCTGGCCGAGCGGATGTCCGGCTGCCGGACAGAGTGGGAGATGGATGGTGCCAGGTGCTGAGGGGGAAGGGTACCGGCACCGGATACCCGCTCCCAGCCCTCTCTTCCGGCACCCCAGCGTGCGGGGAAGGGGAGACAGGCAGGCACAGCTGGACTCACCAGCCCCACGGGTGACAGCTCATCACCCTGAGCCTGGGCACCCCAGCACGGGCACTGCTGGGCACGGGAAGGAGTGGTCCCTTCCCTGCTGCTCAGCAGTCTCAGTGATGCTGCTCGGGGCGGCAGAGTCCCCACAGGTGGGAGGGGTTGGTACCCACTGATGCCCAAGCACAGGGGTGGCACCATCCCGCCACCCACCAGTGGCCCAGGACACACTTGGCCCCTGCACTGGCAGGTTTCACGTGGGTCCCTGATGAGATGTCACCAGGGATGAGCACCAGTGCTGTGCCATGGGTGCTGCAGTGGGCAGGAGGGTGTCCAACCCCCGGTGAGGGTCTGGGGAGTCTGTTCCAGGTTGGACGCAGCAGGAATCAAGGCTGGGGGCATCACTTCGGGGTACAGGGTGCATGGGAAGGGGGAGATGCAATGCGATGTCATAGCCCCACTGGAAAGTCCCTCCACTGTCACTCACCTCATCAGCACTGCATGGCACAGCACTTGCTTCACACTGGCTACTGGAAAATAGAGCCCTTCTTTATTGAAAAATAAACCTTCTCTGTACAAATAAATAACAGCTCAGGTACCTTTGGGGAAAATGGGGTGAGGATGGGATGAGGATTGTCAGGGTGGGTGGTCCCAGGAGAGAGGAGGACTGTGTTTCCTGGCTGAGGTGCTCCAGGTACTGTCTGGGGCACCATTGCCCTGGGGGGAAGTTAGGAAGTGCTCGTGGGAAGAGGGAAGTTGGGGCACGATGGGGGCGGAAGAGCCTGAGACAGGGAGGGGACTGTGTTTGAAGGACATAAGGGACACCTGCCCCAGTGCCCTCTCCCCATGCTGGAATGCTGCCCCAGGGGCACCATTAGGTTTTCAGCGCTTCCAGCGCCAGAGCGACGAGGCCGGGCATGCTGCGGGCCAGCGAGTCACTCTCCAGCCCCACAAGGCCAGTGAAGGCCGTGGGGCGACCCCCTACAGTGGCCCGCACCTGCGCCCGGTACAGTCCCTTGGTGTTTTTGGAGTCCAGGTCCACCAGGATCTGCAGGGAGACAACGGCACCATGAATCCCCTGGGGGAGCCAGGGGCAGAGCAGGACAGTGATGGGCTGGGGGCGGCATTTATCGGCTGCCAGGGTGGGGGACTCTGAGTGGCTGGACAAGGCACTCACCTCCTGGAAGGTCATGGCCAGGTCAGTCTCGGGCACCCGCAGCACCCAGGCGTACAGGTCACGCACCGCACCCACCCGTGCTGCCGACTCGTTGAGGCCAGGGCAGGCTGCGACCCCGGGAATGGGCAGGAGAAACATGGAGGGGGACATCAGGGTGAATTGTGGGGATGCCATGCTGTGGCCCAGCCTAGGGAGGAGCACCCTTGCTCTGGGGACACTATGGGAGCATGGGTCCCTGTGGAAGGGGACATAACCAAGGGCTGTCCCACTGAAATGGGACTACCAATCCTGGGACCAGGGTGCAAGGCTGAGGCTGGAGTTGCCACCGTCCCCATGGTGCCACGGGGCATCCCGCAGGGTTTGTGGGAGCTTACCTTTGCCGGCACCTGCCTTCTCCTCCTCCTCCTCCACCCTGGGCAGCTCTGTGGACACCAGCTCACGTTTCTCCCTCAGTGCGGACCCTGCCACCGAGAGAGGTGTGAAACTCCCGGCAGGGACACGGCCGGTGGGCACTGTCCGGGCACGGAGCCGGCCAAAGGGTGGACATCCCACTGCCCCCAGACCCTCCAGGCTCACAGGGCTCACGGCTCAGCAGGGGGATCCCTGCCTGCTCTCCGGGTGCCTGTCGTGGCTCCATAGTATCCAGGGCAGTGCCAAGGTCCAACTCTGCCCGCAGCTGGGTGAGGAAGGCTTGTCCCTGTCCCACCATCTCCTCCACCACATCCTCACTCTGCTGAAGGGAAGGTAGGGTGATGGGACACCCACAGGACACCTCTAAGAACAGCCAGGTGCCTGGTGGCAGAGTGCAGGGCATGGCTGGGCTTGTGTGAGATGGGGCACTGGGGACATGCAACTGCTTGTGGCTGTGTTGGGTCAGATCCCAAGCTGCAGGGTCAGACCCATGGCTGGCTCTGCACTGCCTGGACTGGGAGCACTGGTTTCAGCTGGGGAGGATGAAATGCCTCCTTTGTAGTGGTAAAGTGAGATGGCTGCACAGGGGACAACAGACCCATAGGATGTCCCTAGTGGCACAGTCACCAGAGGGGCAGGGGCTCCCCCAGCCTGTCCCTCCCCACATACCTGCAGAAAGAGCTGCATCTCCCCAGGGAGCTGTTCCCTGTCCATTGTGGGCACCGGGGGACTGCTTCCCTCCATGGCCCTCAGCGCCTCCACCCAGTCTTGCAACTGGGGTCCAACTGCCCCAAAGAGGTCTGCAAAGGGGGGCAGCCGCCTGGCCCCCCACCTACAAGCACATGAGGTGAGCTCAGACTGGTGTCCAGCAGCACCCATCCCCAGGGCAGTGCCACCCTGTGCACCCCACAGGGCACCCCTGGGAGGGTGCCCTGGTTGCAGGAGAAACAGGACCCCAGTGTTCAGGCTGTCCCCAAAAGCCATGCCAGTGCCCACTGTCATCTTGACCACCTCCCCAACCCTTTTAGCCCCTCGTCCCATGCCCACCATGCCTCACCTGGTGGGGACTTTCTGGGGTCCCTCTGCTGTGGGCCTTGAGTGGCCCCCTGCCACAGCCAGGTCTGAGGGGACAAGAAGGGGACAGGAGAGACAAAGGGCAGGGGAGTCCCATGGGGGTGACAGGGCAGGCTGCTGGTGCTCCAGCCATCAGCTCAGGGGAGACTGATGGGACCCCAAGTGGGTGTGGGGTGGTCCAGCACAGGAGAGTACCTGGGATATCCCTGCGGACACGAGGAGGGAAGAAATGCCCATAGATCTTGCCCAGGAGCTGGGGCAGAGTGCGGCTGAGGAAGGAGAAATCAAACTGGTTTCGGATGAAGTCCCCAGCCTGGCGCAGGAGATCCACCAGGGTCTGGGCGTAGGAGTGCAGCTCTGTGGGCAGAGAGGACCCTGTGGGCACATGGCCCTGGCACCACGCCAGCCTCATGCTGCCAGAAATGGGGTCCCTCCCCACACCCTAGCCCTGCCACAGTCCTCCAGCTCACCACATCGTCTTATCCTGGCACGGCAGGTCTCCTCAGCCAGGCGGGCACAGGTGGCATGGCCCAGAGGTGCCTGGCAGGATCCGGCATAGAAGGTGCAGAGACGGGTGCGCTCAGGGTTCTGCCGCTCTGGAGGCAGCTGGGCCAGTGCCAGCAGGTCGAAGCAGCTCGGTTCTCGGCTGCCAGGGGCAGCTGTGAGAGAACCGGGGCTGCAATGAGGTGCTGAAACCTCTCTGGGTGTCTCCGTCCCCCCTACGGTGCAGCCAGTGGCACTCACAGTCCATCTGGAGGCTGAGCCAGTCCGTGAAGGCAGTGACGCGGGTGTAGACTCCCGGTTTGCCCCGCTCACCGCAGCCATCACCCCACGAGGTGATACCGTAGAGGACAAAGTGGTGTGAAGTGGGGTCCTGGCATGCCAGTGGGCCCCCTGAGTCGCCCTGTGGGGGAGATGCTCCTGCATTGGGCTGGGCTGGGACCCCAACCACATTGACTAGCTGTGGCACGTGCCCAGCAGCCCTGTGTGCCACAAGGGGTTTTTGAGGTGGTGTGACGGTAGTCCCTTAGGCCCAGGTGTTACCTGACAGGAATCGATGCCTCCAGACAAGTACCCAGCACAGAACATGGCACTGGTGAGCAGGTCCTTGCCCAGGGCACCCCGGCACGTCTCCTGGCTGAGCAGGGGCACCTGCGCCTCCATCACCACATCGGCCACTGGTCCCTCTGCCAGGCAATGCACCGATTGCAGTGTCCCCTGTGCTTGGACGTCTCTGTGCCCTGGCTTGGTGCATTGGGACTTGGCACACGAGAGGGGCACAGGGGGGACACCCCACAGGGTGTCAGAGTGGCTCTACCTTCATAGAGGGAGCCCCAGCCCGCGATGTAGCAGGGAGTGCCAGGGCTGGGCTCTGTGGGGCCACTGGGAAGGCACACGGGGCTGACGGTGGGTGACGGGGCCAGCGGCACTGCCAGCTCCAGCAACGCCAGGTCCCCGTGAAATGTCTTGGGGTTAAACTGGAAGGAGATGTGGGGTCGTCAGTGGAGGGCCTTGGAGCATGCACAGGGAGGTCAGGAGGGTGCCCACTTCCACCCACCTTAGGATGAGGCAGGATGCGCCGGATGGGCACTGCCCTCTCGCCCACACTTGGCTTTCCCAGCTCGTGGTCGCCCACCACCACTGTCCACGCCAGCTCATTACGGTTCCTGGCAGGGTGGGGGGCAGCTAGTTACAGGGATATTGGGGTACCAGCCCGTGCCCCCCTCTGCAGGGACATCGTCCCTGCATTGCCGTGCCCCACGCCGTACCCGCCAAAGCAGTGTGCTGCGGTGAGGACCCAGGAGCGCCCCACCAGCACCCCTCCGCACATCAGCTCCCCGTGCAGCCGCACCGACACCAGCCAGGGCCAGGCGCCCCGCGGGGCCACGCTGCCGCCCATGATCCGTCCGCGGGGGGCCGTGGCGTTGGCTTGTGGACCCCCGCGGCGCCCACAGCTCCCTGGGAAACAAAGCCGGGGTGAGAGGGGGTCCTGCAGCCCTGCTGCTGGGACACTCCCTCTGCAGGTGGGCACGGGGCGTCCGGGGATGGTCGCGGCAGGTGGAGGGGGTGGCGGGGGCTCAGGCGCGTCGGGCGCGCTGTCAAGCCTCATCGTGCTCACGGAGGCGAGCGGGCGGAGGGCCGGGGGCACCCCGCAGCCCGGCAGCTGCCGACGCTAACCTCTGCCCCCCGGCCCAGCAGGCAGCCGGGGGCCGGGGGCGCCCGCTGGCGTGGTGGGGGGGTGGCGTGGGCACCGCGGGGCCGCCCCGGCTCACCTGGCGTTGCCACCTCTGCTGCTGCGTCAGGACCTGGGTCTGCGGCTGCCGTCTCTGCAGGGACAGGCTGTCAAGGCACGTGGGGACACTCCCCTCCGGTGTCACCACCGCATCCCTGCTGTCCTCAATTCCCCTCAGTTCCTCTCAGTGCCTCCAGACCCCCATCATCCCGAACAAACACCCGTGTACCACCCCAGGAGTGCTTGTCATCCCCAGTGACTCAGTGTCCGCAATCTCTCAGCCACCTTCCCTTACCCCCTTCTCCCTCCCAGATTCTCCATTACCTCTCAATGTCCCATTCCCCCAAATGTGCTCATTGTTCCCAATGCCTCCATCCCCCAAATCTCCACCTCTTACCCCGGATCCCAATATTCCCCCCAACCTTCCATCCCACCAAAGATACCCCATCACTCAATTGTACCCCCACTTTCCCCATTCCCCCACTCCGTCCCAGCATCCCATCACCCCCAATGTCCCGTATCCCCTCCAAACCTCCCCTGGGAATGCCCCGTTTTTTATCGTAGGGTCTTCCCTCTCTGGGAGGAGCCAGGGGGGTGCAGGTGCCCACTCACGGCACTCCTGGAGGCGGTGCTGGCAGAGCCGGGCGCTGAGCGGGGCACAGGCGTGTGGGGCCCCCTCAGGTGGGCACAGGTGCTGGTAGGGGGCACAGGCCTGGCTCAGTGCCCAGTTGCGCTGGGGCAGCTCGGGCAGTGCCTGGGCATCCAGCAGGGCCTGGCAGCTGGGGGGCACAGCTGGCGCTGCAAGAACAGCAGGGCTGTGAGCATCATCATGTCCTCCCTGCCCACCTCTGCCCAGGCCACCCTGAGTTCTGCTTTGGTGTGGGTGGGAAGGGGGCACGATAAGCTGTGTAGTCAGCACATTTTGGTAGGGTCTTCTGTGTGCTGAGATATGTTTTTGAGGGGATCTCTGAAAAGGAGACAATGTTTTGGATAGGGCTTTGGGTGATTGGGTAGAATATAGAGAAGATGGGAACTGCTTGGGTAGGGTCTTCAGGTGGTGTTTTGGTAGGGTCTCTTGCAGTTAGGGATACATTTCGGGACTCTGGGCACTGTTTTGGTAAAGCCTGTAGGGTAAGCCAATAGGGGAGAAGGTATGGTTTGAGTAGGATCTTGGGGTCCAATTTTGTTAGGATTTCTAGGGGATGAGGTGGTGCTTTGGTAAGGACCCAAAGAAATATTTGGCAAACGTTTCTAGGCATGGGTGCAGGTTTTGGCAGGGTCTTTTGGGCACGGGATGGTGTTAGGATAGGACTCCTGGACTGTGTTTGGGTCGGGATCCTGGGCTCTGTTTGGGTAGGGCCTCCTGGGGATGGGGCAGTGGGGGCCATGGGGTCATGACTCACGTGGGCAATGGCCAGTGATGTTGGCGCAAGGTGGGAAGAGGCAGGGGGCACATAGTCCACAGGCCCCTCGCTGCCGCTGCTGCTCGGACAGCGCCCGCTCCAGTGCCAGCAGTGCACTCCTCAGTGCTGCCTCCAGCACCAGCGTCCCACGGCTCGACAGTGCTGATGGACACACACAGGGTGTTCAGACTCCCAGAGCCCCCACCACTGCCCCCCACCGCAGCCATGGGGTGCCCCCAGCCCCCCTAGTGCCTGTGCCCCGATATCTCTGTGGTGGGTGTCAGGCTGGGCATGGCCTGTCACCCGTTGACATTGCCTAAGGTGACAACCGCTAGTGTCGCCTCTCTGCTGGTTGGCACATGGGCACTTGGGTGTTTGCCTAGGTCTCTGTGTGTCCATTGTGGAGACCCCATGGACAGATGTGTGTGCAAATGTGGGCACACAGCAAGGTGTGAGCCTGGGCAGGTGTGCCCACATGTATCAGTGTGCAGGTACTTCTGTACGCACTTGTGTGTGCACTGTGAGTGCACACCTGTGTGTGCCAGGGTCTGCATGTCCCCATGTGTGTGCAGTTCTGTGTGTGCCCTGTATATGCATCCCCCTGTGTGTCCCTACCTGTGATCACCTTCCTGCTGGCCATGCCCTGGCAGAATGTCCCCTGGGGCTGGCAAAGGTACCTGGGCAGGAGGGAGCACACAGGGCACCCTGCATCCCCTGTGTCCCCTAGTGCCACTGGCAGCACTTGACACCCAGTCCAGGCAGCACAGGTGCGTCCCAGGATCTGGGGGTCTTCACCAGGGACCTGGCCATTCTGCTTGTGCTCCCTCCCTTCCTGAGAGTGAACCCAGGGGTCCCAGCTCCTACAGCAGCCCTGTCCACAGCCAAACTGTCCCAAAAAGATGCCCCCATTCCCGGGCCCCACTGACCTTGCAGGATGCTGGCCGGCATGGGATACAGCCCCTGGCCCAGGGGGACCCCCCCCCACCAGCTGCAGCAGCAGCAGGAGCAGCAGAAGCATGGGGGGGACCAGGCGGACCCCGAGAAGAGCTCCCCGCGTCCTCTTCCCTCCTCTCTTCATCCCCGGGCGGGCAAAGGGGGCAGGAGGGGGGAGCCCCCGAAATGCCCGAGGCGGGAGAGGAGGGATGGATATATACGGTGCCCCCCGGGCGGTGGGAGGAGAGAGGGGCCGGGGGAGCACAAACAGGCGAGTTCATTAATGTCGCGCCAAGATGCCAGCTCGGGGCGGGGGGCGCGAGGGGGGGGCGCAGCCGGGGCCTCAATGCCGCCTTTGTTCGACGGGGCCTCCGGGCGGGCAGCATCAGACGGGCGCTGCGCTCCGGCGCTGCCCGCGGCCCTTGATCATTTTCACGCCAAGCCCCGGCCGCGCCACCCTCCCTCCTGCGGGCCCCGGGCGGGTGGGAACGCACCGGCGGCTGCGGGCGCGGGGGGCCCGGGCTGGGCGTGGGAGCCCCGCCGGCGGTTTCAAAGGCGGGCAGCGGGCCGGGAGCGGTCGGGCGGACAAGGCGGGGGAAGGGGAGGAGGGGGGGCTCCGCGGGGGGGGTCCCCCTCTTTCTGTGCCAGCCCAGCCCTGGCTGAACGGGCCATCCCGTGCCCAGCGCAGCCACCCCCGTGCTGAGCACAGGCTGTCCCCGGGGACCCCCCTCCGATTTCTCTCCCAGTTTCCCGTGTCCTGCCTGGGGTGCAGGAGGGAGGATGTGCCCCGGGGAGGGGGCTGGGGGCAGGTGGGGCCGGAGCACCGGCTGTCCTTCTTGCTTGTCCTTCTGTCCTTGTTAAGCAGTGGGCCCGGGTTGGGGGCAGCCTTGGCCCCAGGAATGGGGGGGCTACACTCACCAGCCCAGCTGGAGAGGATGCCTCCGTGCCTGCCGCTCGGCTTGTCATTGGTCCCACACTTTTGGGATGCAGTCCTCCTGTGCCCGCGGGCTCAGCCTCAGTTCCTGCGGCGGGACAGGGCGCGGCTCCATCTCTATCACCTCTTTGGGACGCAGAGGATGCCCATGCCCCTATCTCTGTCCCTGTAAAGGGGACTGGGGTTTCTGGGTCCCACATCGGTTTGGAGGGTGCCCACGTCCTTTTTTCTGTCGTTGTTAGCGGCAAGGGGTGCCTGTATCCCTATGTCCACTGCGGGGCAGGGGGTGACCGTGCCCCTATCTCTGTCCTCCTTAGGAAGTACCTATTCCCCGCTCTCTGTCCCCATTAGGTGCAGGAGGTGCCCATGTCCCCATCCGCATTTCGAGTCCAAGGGGTGCCCGTCCCCATTAGGGGCAGGAGCGCCTCCGTGCCCGCACTCCCCCTGGCCCCCCCGTCCGCGATGGTGCCAGCAGGGCGCGGACAATGCCGCTTCAGTGGCACATCAAAGGCGCGGGCTGCCCGCGGCTGGCACGGCGACAGGCCCGCCGCAGATGAAAGCCCCGGCCCCGCCGGGCTCCCACCTCGGCCGCGGGGGCACGCTACGCCTCCGCCCCACGGGGGACGCGGAGACGGGCGGGGGGACACATGGCCGCGGCACACGGGACAGCGGACCCGCGCCCCGCCCCGGTGTCCCCGCACTGATCTCCCTCCCACCCGTGACACATGGGGGTCCAGGCGCTCGGTAACCGCAGTCGGCGCCCACGCGGGTACTTGAGGCTGGCGTGGGGTTCGGCCCCGGCCGCACCGTGCCCCCCGCTCCCGGCCCCGGTGCCAGTGCCAACCCCATTAACCTAATTGGCGAGGCGCTCGGCCGCCCCGGGCGGCGGCAGCAGTGGGACCCCGGGGCCCGGGCAGATCCCAGCCCCGGCGGCGGGCGGGGGGGGTCGGCGCCCCCGGGGCCCCGATTGTCCGGTAATTGGCGCGGGCAGCCGAGCCCGGCCGGCAGCGCCGCGGGGCGGGGGAGCGGCCACCAGCGGCGGCTGTACCGGGGTTCCCGGGGATGCCCGGGGCGCGGCGGGCGGGATGGGGGTGCCGGGGTCGGTATCGGGGTCTCGGCCGCTGGGGGGTCGGGGGCAGGGGGCGTGTGGCGATGCGGGGGGGGGGGGGGGGAACGGGGGGGGTGGGGCGAGTTCAGGAGTGCAAGGGGGATGCCAGGGCCGGGTATCAGAGTGCGGAGACCCCGGGAGGGCCGAGGGTTGTGGGGGTTCAGGGTATGGGGTGACGCTGAGGCTGTGATGGGGTCACTGTGGGGGTGTCGGGGTGGGGCTCGGGGGGCGGTGGAGGGGACCAGGGTGGGGTAGCATTTTGGGACAGGGGCCATGATGAAAGCAGGGGGCTGTGGGTGGGGCCAATAAAAGGGCACGGTCAGGTGGCAGGGGGCGGGGCCTCGACGTTTGGTCTGGACCGGGGGCGGGGCCTGTCCGGGTGGGGCGGGGCCAATGGCGGGGGCGGGGCTGCAGGCGTGGTCTGTCCTGCGGGTCGGGGCGGGGCCATGTTTGGGGGCGGGGCGAGGGCGGGGCCCGGCGGGTCGGGCCCGGGTCGGCGGGCGGGGCCGGGAGCGGGACCGGGAGCGGGACCGGGCGGGGGACCGGGCGCTTTTCGGGGCTGGCGGGGCCCGAGCCGCGCCGAGCCATGGAGAGCTCAGAGCGGAGCGCGCTGCTCACGTACCGCCTCTGCGGCGGCTCGGCCGAGGAGGAGCGGGGCCGGGAGCGCGGCCGGGCCGCCGCCGCCCCCCGCAAGCTGCCCACATTCCTGGGCGTCGTGGTGCCCACGCTGCTCTCCATGTTCAGCGTCGTCCTCTTCCTGCGCCTCGGTGAGTGCCGCCGCCCCCGGGGCGCCCTCTGCTCCCCGCCGCGGCCCGGGGCCCCCTGAGACTCACCAGCCCAGCCTGGTACCCCCAGCCCGGGCCTCGTGTGTGGTACCCCAAGCCCCGGACCCCCCGCATCTGGAGCTCCGAGCCCCACAGTCCGGGTCCCCAGTGCCCTCCCAGTGCCCTCTTCTGAGCCTCCGTCTCTGGAGTCCCAGTGCTCCTCTCCAGTGGTTACCCCAGTGCCCCCAGTCTGGGGTCCCAGTGCCTTCCCTGTGCCCACTCAGTTCTCTCCCGGGCTGGGGTCCCGGTGCTGTGTGTCCCTGCCTGATCCCTCCAGCCTGGGGCCTGGGGACTGAGGGACAGGAACCTGCAGGACAGGAATCCAGTTAGGAACCCCTGTAAGCGACCCCGGTCCAAAGCCCTAGTGTCCCTGGCATAGAATTCCTGTGTCTTTCCAGTGCCTTCCCTAAATGGGATTCCAGTACCCTCGTGCCACCTGTCCCACAGTGCTGGGACCCCGCTGCTTCCCGGGCATCCCCCAGTGCCAGGATCCACCACCCCAGTTCTCTCGCACATCACACCTGATGTCCCAAGAGCAGGACCCTGGTGTCCCTGACAGACACCTGGCTACCCCTCTCTGTGTGTGCAAAGGGTACAGACTGGTTCCCAGTCTGCCCCCAGTTTGGGTTATGGGCCTGTTACTGTGACCCCTGGGAGAACTCGGAGGACAGGTTGGGCATGGACTGGGGCAACTGGCAGCCTTTTGGGGGGCCCTGGGGTGCCTCTGCACGGCCCGGGGCAGGCAGAGGCCTGAGGCACGCAGTGTCCGCCCTGGTCCAGGAACGGGAAAAGCTTTTCCTCTTTCACTTTCCGCCCACGAAAAGCCCAAGGCAGGAATTGGCTGCATGCCCGGAGGCCCATGAGCCCCGGGGTGGGGGGGAAGGGGCCTTGAGCCCCTTCCCCTGCCTGGGGGGCCCCTCACGCTGGGGGCACAGCTCTCCCCTGACATCACTTGCTCCCTTCCCACTCCTCTGCTCAGAGTCCTCACACAGGCTCTGACCCCCCAGCCCCACAGCGGGCACCAGGGTCCCCCTGCCTGGAGGTGTGTTGGAGGGGAAGTATGGGGCGGAGCAGGAGGGAAGCTGCCAGGAAGAGGAACTTTCACCCCGTCAGTTCCCCATTTCCCCCACATCTCAGAGGCTCCTCAGATCTCCAGGGTGAGCACCCCCTCCTACTCACCCCTGCACTGCTTTTGGGGCACCCCTTTATTTCTACCAACCCCCCTGCCTGCCTTTGTTTTTGGCACTCGAGCACCCTGCAGCCCTCTGGGGACCACAGAGGGTGCCCCCAAACCCAGCCTGGTGCCCCAAGGGCTCCTTGTGGTGCCGGTGCCCCTGTCACCCCCCCTTGCCTCCCCACGGGCATGTCTGTGGCCTGGCTTGTGGCTGAGATAGGGCAGCGCCCACAGCCGCGGATGGCCCTTTCCTGCCCACAGCGCTGCCAGCCAGAATCACTCCCATCAGCCTGGGCAGGGCTGGGGAGGCTCTGTGTGCCCTCTCAACACAGAATACACACACCCACCCACGGGGGAGTGGTGCCCTGGCTGGCAGGGACACCCGGCGCTGCTTCTGCTTCCTGCTCTGCTGTGGGTGAGCAGGGCAGCAATGGGAACCCTGTGAGGAGCGCCTCACTCCCTTCACTGGGAGACAAGGGTGGCATCCAGGCACAGGGTTCCCAGCATCCCCAGGGTGGGCAGCAGAGCCCATGCCCTGTTTGTTGGGTTTTTAGGCGTGCCTGGGCCTGGCATGGCAGGAGGATGGAGATGCCCTGAGGTAGGGACACTGGCTGATGCTGCTGTGGGTGGGAGGTGGGAACATCCCCACCCTGGCAAGGAAAGGACT